AGAAGAGAAATTTAGCCTAACTAATAAAAATACGAACCATTAAGCGAGATAAAGATATATTTACCAAACCGGAAAAAGTACACCAAATATAATGGTATTATTTTTGACCGCTTCTTTAATCCTAAAGCTATAATCAGATGGAGGATGAAAAACTGAAAGGAAATCGCTAATGATTTTATGGCATGCTTTGCCATTATCGTCAATAATTAAATTATATCCAAGCTTTAGGGATAATTATTTTATCACTTTTTTGCGAAGTCTTATCACTTCTTTAAAATATAAACTCATCAATATACACAAATTTATAGATATGCGAAATGAATGCCCAAGAAATCTTGCGAATACTTCTTGATTTTCAAATCTATTTGGCGATGATGGCTCTGACAATTAGCAAATGGCTATTCGAACAGGCGAATTCTGAAATTCTACGCTATATTCAATAAATATATGAAAAGTGGAGGAAAAACATTATTTATAACTTTATAAATTTTTGAATAAAATTCCTAATTAAAAGGTTTTTTTTGAAAAATATTATTTAGTACATTATTACACTACAAAACATATTCTCAATGGGAAATCGTGTGCAATGAGATAAAATTTTCTTTCAGAACATTTTTAGAGTTTGCTAGTTAAACGATCAAACGATAAATATTGTCCCATATTTAGTATCATTTGCCATAACAAATTAAAGCCATCCATGAATATGATTCGATGAAAGACTGTTTATCGTTATTTGCCAGTTTATTCAGATGCAAGTAATTTATCCAACTAGAAAGTTTATCAAAAGAACAAACTATTCTTAGAATAGAATAGAATAGAGATATTGCTTTTAAACTCAATTTATAGTTTTTGATAATCGTAATAACCGTAAAAAAGTGCAAAAAACCGCTTTCGAGGGTTAAATTTCAAATGAGAGACATAAAGTTTTATAAAGTTATAAAGTTTTTCGAAAATATACCTGTATTAAATATTATATATATATATATATATATATATATTCAATATTAATATTGTATTCAACATAATTTTTTCAAAAAAGCTAAATGAATAAATAGATTTCAATATAAAAGGCTCGATAGATACAATCTTAAAAAGGATCCACTAGATGGGTAGAAGCTCCAGGAAAACAGGAAGGATTTTGTTTATATTTAGTCGATATGCACGATATAAGAATGGATCCAATGTTGAAATTTAGCCTTGCTTTAGCAGATGGTGCATTTAATGTTTATAGGCATTTGATCAGTGTCTTAGAAAACAGAAGAAACTTTATCTCATTTATCATTTAATATAAAGCAGAAAATTTCGAGAACACAAGTGATATGCTGGCTTTTTCATAGTATATGATATATCTTAGCATATGCTAGCGATGGCTGTAATCCAGTTCATAGCAAAATATTACAAAAAAATGAAGTTCTGACACAAATCTTTTTTAAGAGATACCTTTAGTTCTTGTCTATAAGTGAAGCTAGAAATAGATAGGCATAGGATGACTTGGTGGGTTGTTGTTCAATTCGGAGCGCCGATACTAAAGTTCTATTCCTAGCAGGAGTAAACCTTTCCAAAAACCCGGGTGGTGCTGGCTATTCACCTGCATTTCTATCGCTAAGGGACTCTTTGGCATACTTGTCCAGTCGACAAGCCAGCGGAGCAAGTTTAACCAGTAATGATAAAAATCCTTTAAAAAAAAATACGTGGAGCTATGCAGCTAATGATAAAATGGTAAGTGGAACAACAGTTCACCAGTTTGCTACATGATCTCTATCGGAACAGTATTAATGAAAAAAATATTGGTGGTGTGTGGTGTGTTACTTTAATACAGTTCCTCGAACGAATATTATTGCCATTTGCTTATGCTCAAATTCGTTTAAGTCCTGCTTGTTGTCACTAGCTTAATCAGCGCAACAAGTAAAGGCAGCCTAAAATTTTTCCAGAGATGCCCAGCAATTTCATTACTTGATGCTTATATCGTTCAACGTTTCTTGAGAATTATGTTAACAAACTACCACCGTAAAAAAGGAGAAACCATGAAAGACACCAAACAATATTTAAAGAGGTTAGCATGCAAATGAAAAACTGCCTTTTAATTTTGGAAAAATAAAAATGCTTTTTGCTGGAAATTTTATTCGTATTTAAGAAATTATTGGAGAAAAGATTACTGAAAGCAAAATGCTGTTTCTATAAAATTTCACCGCTCTACTTTTATGAGCAATTTTAAAAAATTCCACCGAATATTTAAGCTAAAACTTAAATTTAAAATTTATTTTGATTATTAATTTGGAAAAGAATTATTTTCATGGTCGATTTAATTACATAAGAAACCAATATTCGCATATCGATAATTAATAATAAATACGCTTTTTGCTGGAAATTTTATTCGTATTTAAGAAATTATTGGAGAAAAGATTACTAAAAGCAAAATGCTGTTTCTATAAAATTTCACCGCTCTACTTTTATGAGCAATTTTAAAAAATTCCACCGAATATTTAAGCTAAAACTTAAATTTAAAATTTATTTTGATTATTAATTTGGAAAAGAATTATTTCCATGGTCGATTTAATTACATAAGAAACCAATATTCGCATATCGATAATTAATAATAAATAATAAAATATAAATAGAATCCAATAACTATTACTTATTGGCGATTTATAATCAACAGGTGAAACCACTTTGAATCTTTTTTCAGATGGCGCATAAAAACGGTAAATTGTGGCCAGTCATGTCACTCGGTGATGTTAGTTCTATTAGTTGCTTTCATATTTGTGCGCAGAGGCGAATCGGGAGATGATGGAGTTCCGCTAACCAAATGCCTTGCTCCTTCAAATGTTGTTCCAGTCGTTCCTCGTCCATTGCCTCTTCCAACAGCTTGCAAAGATAAAGATCCAACGATTTGCACTGCCATTTTTGCCGTCCGATCAGGCGCTGTAGCACCTAATTCAGTCGCGTATGTTTTCTAAATTTATCTTTCTAGCACTCTATTTGCTTATCGATTCGATTTTACTTGATTAAAAAAATTCTCTTCCAGAACAAATCCGTTTTTAGTCAATCCTAATTGTCAAAACGTGACTGTTATGGTTGCTGCTGAAGCTTTGTGTCCCTCTTCATGTGCAGTTTGCTGTTTAACGCCTGAATTTAATTGCCAAAACTGTATGTTTCTTATTGTACCAGTTTACTTGATATTGCTTTTTTGAGGTTATAATTTTTTAATTTGAAAATTTAGATAAAAATACATCTAATCACTTAGTCATTATGTGCAATATCTTTCCTTATTTTAGCTGCTCCTAACTGTGATGGATTTACGGCGGCACCAGATTTGTGCACGAACCCAAACACAGCCGCAGCGGCTTTAGCAGGATGTCCTCAAACCTGTGGACTATGCAATAAACCTGGCGCCAACGGCCAATGTCCAGATACTGGTGTCGTGAATTGCGGACAATTATTGACAACTGGCATAAATTGTAGTAATGCATTCATGATGCAGAATTGCATGGGAACTTGCAGAATAACGACTTGTTTGTGTATGTTTGCATTTATCGAATTTTTCGACTCT